AAATCTAAAATTTAAAGCGCGTTCTAACACATTGCAACTCAATGGCAGAGTATCTAAGTGGAGCGATCACACGGACGAGATATGCCCTTTGTGCAAATCAGAAATCGAAGATCTAAACCTATTTTTTATTCACTTGTAGTAGAAGCGCTGTAATTACCAATATAAGAGTTGATGTGTTAAAGAAGCTTGAAAATGAATTATATAAAACAAACCACCAAGGTATTTGGAACTATTTTATTAATAGTGATTTAAATACAAAACTGAATAATGTTACTAGGCAGCGACAATATATATGCAGAATATGAACAAAACGAAATAACCTATAATATTTTTCAAAAAGAGCATGGAAAGCGAAATGTGAAATTTTAGCGAATGTAAAAACATAAAATAATTCTTACCAATTTTATATATTTTGTATGTATTTTTATCTATTTTAACTGCTCAAAACTTTTAATTTATTTAGATACTTATCTTTTAAAAGAGTTAAGAATTTAAACAGTAACTATTCTTTTATTTCCCGTGTGCATATTTGTCTTTTAAACAAATAAATCAAACATTTCTCTGCCATGATTTGAAATTGTGTTATTTTAATGCTTTTTTTAATGCTGATTTGAACTTAAATAATTGTCATTTTACTGTTTTTCTTGTATTGTAGGCCTACGTGTTTATACTATACTGTGCTGTAGTGTACGGTATGAATGTACTGTGTTGTTTGAATTTTTTTTTTATTGTGAACGCACAACTGTTTTTATATTTAATGCTTTTTAAATATCACTTGTACATTTTGATTTTGCCAAATGAAGATGCTTTTCCTTTGTATTTTATATGATCGAAAATAAAGTTTTATTCATATTCGTATTCGTACTTGATGGTGTGTGCCACTGATATAAAAGTGTACGATTCAATGAAGTTATTATTATTATTATTACGTCTACAATTATAATCATCATTACCATAAGCAACTCTACCACAATTATCTTCACTATTATCAACATTATCACAATCATTTTCATTTTTATCGTCATTTTTATAGTAATAATTGTCATATTCATAATCATATTTATAATAAAGTTTCTAATCATTATCAGTATCATCATTATTATCAACCATCATTGTCATCATCATAATCAGAATCAACATAGTCATCTCTGTCATCATCAGCAGTATCAACATTGAACTAATAACCACAACCATTTGAATCATGCACCGTCACCATCATCTTCATTATCATCATTATTATCATCTTAATCACCACCACCATTTTATCGTCGTCCTTCATTTCCACCAACGTCATCATCATTGTTATCACAATCAACATAAACACTACCTTTATCCCCTTCATTATCATCATGGTTATTTATTTCACTCAATATTTTTTTTTCGAATTATCGTTGAAACCATCTTCATCATCATTACATCCACCATCATAATCATCATCCTAATTATAAAAAACTACCACAATTATCATCATTACCAACATCACCATTTTCATCATCATCACTATCACCTTCAACGTCATCCTCATGTTTGACATCGTCATAATCATAACCAACATTTAATCATTAACATCGTCATCATCTTCATCTTCACCAACTCCATCAGCAGACTCATCATCACCATCATCACAGCCACTAACATCATCATCTGTCTCCACAACCAATTGCAATTATTTTACAACCTTATTGATGAAGTAGCTTATGTTTTCGTTTATTTTCAGAAAAACCTGTATCTCAGGACACAGGAGTATCGACCAGTCAGCTTAAGACTTTACGCAAGAAGGTTATTGAAAGTTTTGCTAACAAGAGTTCTGAACCGAGAGATATAACATGCATATGGGACTATGCCGGTCAATTGAAATATTACTTAACTCACCGGGTATGTGGTTAGCTACGTTTGAAATACGTTGATAACGTTAGAAATTATTTTTGACGGTGTTTTGATAATTTTTTGCTTTGAAATAACAAAACAATATTTTTTAAACAGAAAATGCTGACCAATCAGCATCACCAAATGCTGTCGGCAGTACCGTGTAGCAATTGCATGAAAACCAAGATTTATTTAAAAAACATTTTCGTTATCTAATTTTTAGATTTTAAAGAAAGCATTTAAAATATTAATAAGATGTTTCTAACCCTGTAGGCTATGTATTATGAAACACCTTTTTGTAAAATAGCCTATTAACATTCACATTATTTTTGTTAAGTCATTGTATTTAATGTGTATTTAATATTTTCTTTTTCAGTTTTTCCTTACAGATGGGTCTTACGGAGTTGTTTTCAGTTTGATAGATGATTTAGATAAATTTGCAGAACCAAGAGATTTGCATACAGTAAATAATTTTATTGATTTATAATTTGTAGTTACTTTCAAAGAAGTCAATAATTATTACTTGCATTAAATAATTTTATCCTCTATCTCATTTTGTAGATTAAGACGCTATTTCTTTTTAATTTAAGGGACCATTTGAGATGACTAATCTGCAATTGAACGTATTCTGGTTAAAGTCGATATATGAACATGCTGATGGCCCTAAATGAAATAATAATAATAATAATAATAATAATAATAATAAAATAATAATAATAAAATATTTCTACTAATACCAAATAACTAAATAGTTTGTAATGACATACTAATAATAGGCCCCTAATAATAATAATAATAATAATAATAATAATAATAATACAATAATAATATAGTAAGTTTACAACAGAATGGACTTGAATGTCACTTTACATATAGTGGTGTATCATAGTATAGATATTCTTATTACTGGTTTATGCACTTTGAAAGAAAGTTATTCAGAGAATTGTAATTATTTTTTTTTTTAGGCATTTTTTTTAGGAAATTGGTTTTTTAAAACAAAAACAATAATAATAATAATAATAATAATAATAATAATAATAATAATAATAATAATAAAATATTAATACAGTAATATTAAAGATGTATTGTCCCATGCTAAATACAAAAAAATAAAAAATCGTAAAAATATTTTTTGAAAATAACTTGCCCATTTTGAAGTAACATAAAAGTTATCAACTTGAACATAGCAATTAGTGTATTTGAAAATTGTCTACACATCAGTTTACAGCGAAAAATGATAAAAACACTTCCAGTCACTGAAGTATTTTATTATTTTTATTATTTTCTGGTTTAAAAATCAGGGTACACATTTTTAAAATTCAGTAATTTCTATGCACAAGTTAATAATTTGTATGTTATTGCAAAATGAGCAAGTTGATTTCAAAATTTTTTTTTTAATGATTTTTTGACATTAGCAAGGGATACATCTTTAATAATATTTGTAATAATGTCAACAATGATAATAATGATGGTGGTGGTGAAGATAAACTTGATAACATTTACACGGGCTACCATGTACCACCCTCATACAATACTTAAATCATAAGCTGATAACCAGAATATTGAAAAGTGTAGCCGCATTAGACTGCTATGAACAATATAAAATAAATGACAGCAGCACTTTCAAAACTAACAATATAGAATTTATTCTCTAGCTTTCGTTCACACAGTCTCCTGATGAAGTCCACTGTGTGGACAAAAGCTAGAGAATAAATTATATATTGTTAGTCTCAAAAGTGCTGCTGTCATTTATTATATATTACCAGAATATATATTTATTGCCACTTAAATCTTTCAAAAAAAAAATGAATTGCTTGCTTTGTAAATTTTTATAAGTTATTAGTTTAAACTTATAATTAGAACAAGAAAAACATTTCCCTGCTTATTAACAGTTGTTTAGAAACAAACTTGATTGATTTTTTTAAAAGAGCAATTATAAATTTCATAGCTTCTCATTTTTTATTAAAGATGTTCCATATTTTTCCATACTATACCTTCTGTCTTCTACACTCCAACTTATTAATAATGCAATGAGGTTTCTACTAATTTGACCATTTACCAAAGACGATAATATTATTGTAGTTAAAAGATTATTTATTTCAATGTAGACTCCAGAATTCAAGAGGGATTGGCGTCAATTAAATGAAGAAGGAATTCTTACAGAACTACTAGCACGTCATTTGTGGAAAAAGGAACTGAAAGAAAGTGAAGATGCTGATGACGTCGTCTTTGAAGACTTCATTGAAATTATGAAGATGTTTGGACTTCTCTTTGAAAAGGTATTGTCTGTTTGGCAGACAACATAAATCTTACTCTTCTTCATTTACTTCCCTGAGCAGTAAGAACCTTTAAGCTGTAAACTCTTAATATTGTGTCCACATGACGCATGTGTTGCATTTAGTTCTTTAGAAAAAGCCTATTGAAGTGGTTTACATTACAACAGCAGCCACCCCCCCCCCTTCTCCACCAACCACTCATCCTTTTCTTTAGAACCAACACTGAATATCTCATGACATACCTATAATGAACTAGAACTATTATTTACATCAGAGTCTCTATCGTTTATAGAAGAATAAATCAAAAGAGGACCCTCGACTTTTCATCGTCCCATCTCGGATGAAGACCAAGACTAATGATAATTTGGAAATTAAGAAAGACGAAGAGAAAACAGTGTCCATCTATGTGATGCCTGAAGTCTTTCTTCCCGATGCTGTCTACAATATCTTGGTCGTTGGATTTGTGAACCTGAGTCAAGATAAAGGTTGCTATTATGACCCAAAGTTATTTCAGAATCAGACTAAAATAGGATTCGATGATAAGCATTACTTGAGTCTAGGTTGGATATCCATTGATAAAAAACAGTCTTTGAAGGTAAATAGGCCTATGCATCTTGTTCCTAAAATGTACTATGTTGTTTTCTTTATTATTCTGTTCATGTCCATATTTATTATTGTGTTACCCTAGTATAGAGAGGTTTGGGATCAGGTTAGTCGATCAACAACTTTTGTCCATTGCAAGAATGAGCATATTCACCTAAATGATATCTTTTTAGTCAATATTAATAATGTTAAACATGGCCTTGTATTAAATTGTATTAGGCCTTATATTTGTTGAGCCAGTTACTCACTGCGTGCGACGCAATGCGATGAAGAACACACGCAATCAAGCGGACCCAACCGATTCACATAAGCCTGATTCTCACGAGAGCCCTTATCCGGATCAGGAGCTAACTGTTAGCACCTGCGTGAGAACGCCAGATCGGTTAGCATTAACTGTTAGCGGTATCCGGATACGCTAACGGTTAGCAAACGCTATCGGTTAGCAAGTTGAGGGCATTTTTTTTCATCAACCAATCACACGTACGCGTTTACAATTTCCAGTTTCTTATTGGCCAGTGATTTGATCATCATGGGCTATGTTCTCACACGGAAGCTAACGGTTAGCAGGATCCGGATCCTGCTAACTGTTAGCTGCCGTGCGTCCATGCCAGAAAATCTCGATCCGATTGGTTGATGATAGAAACGCCCTCAACGTGCTAACCGATAGCGATTGCTATCCGTTAGCGTATCCGGATACCGCTAACGGTTAGCGCTAACTGATCGGGCGTTCTCACGCAGGTGCTAATGGTTAGCGCTAACGGTTAGCTCCTGATCCAGATACTAGGGCTCTTGTGAGAACCAGGCTATATCGTTGGTATCCAGATCGGGATTTTCTTGCATGGACGCACGGCAGCTAACGGTTCGCAGGATCCGGATCCTGCTAACCCTTAGCTGCCGTGTGGGAACATAACCATGATTGAATTCAATCCAGTATATATTTCGATGAGACCACCACTATTAAAATATCAAGGGCGGTTGTTGTCGCAATCTTGACTAAACCAGACCACTGTTGCACAGGGTTCAGTCTGAAGAAGTTGGCAGTCTGCCAATGAAACGTTACAGATAATCAATTGTACGTTTTTTTGGTTCAACATAAAAATAATAATTCTAATCATATATAATTAAATATTATATTATAAATGGAATGAAAAGAAAAGCAACTATTCAATCTAACTTCTGTAAATATTCCTTGTAATACACTGGTATTCTCTATTAAAGCTTGAAATTTCACGGATGAAAGAGAGAGACGAAAATGGTGCAGACAAGCCAGCATGTAAGCCGGATCCCAGTGTATGTAATGAGGTAATGACTTCATTGACTGCTTGTGGGTTGTCTATTGTTATACTTAATTTAAATTTGATACTAAATGGCTAATTATTGTCAAATTGAACTTGAATTTAAAATGTTTTTTAAAATTTAATTTTACAGGTTTTGAACGTTTTAAAGAAACACCTAGATGAGTTATATCCATCTAAGAGGATTGTGGGCTATGCTCTAAAAATTCTTTGCCTAGTCTGTTTGAACCAAGAGAAACCACACTTTCAAGAACTTGAGAAATGCTTAAAAGGGAATATGATTTGTGATAAAACAGGAGAACCTATAGCAATGTTAACAGCTGAAGTACAGAACCAGTTTAAATCCGGTATAAACATGTTATGTTTTAATAATGATGTAAAATAATTTTAATTTGATAATCTTATTTTGAAGTAGAGAAACGATTGTAAACATAATTAGAGAATTCAAGACAGATCATTTATTTATAATTTGTTTTGTCATTTTACAACCTGGTCTGTTTTGAAGAAAAGAGAAAGCACGAGGATCTGGTCTGCTCGAATGTTCTCTTACAGATGATAGGGCAGCAGCAATATAGCATATAAATAACACTGGTGATAAGCTGTCACCCTAAGGTGAACCTATTGATGTATCAAATTCTGCTGAATAGGCATTCTTTATACGGACTTTCAACTTTGTATCGGCCAGCAGCAGTCTCACCAATCGTAGTTCATCTTTATCACAACCAGCCTGGTGTGAAGTACCTCTAGGATCTTTGATCTTTTGATGGTGTCAAAGGCTCGGGACATGTCAATGCCCATTTTGTAGAAATCCCAGTGCTTGGACATAACTACAGATACGAGCATCCGTTGGGCCCATACAATGTCAGCACAGCTTCGTCCCCGTTTGAAGCCACTCTGGTAAGGTCCTATGAAGTCGTCGATCTTGTCTCGTATACGGTGTAGTGTTATTGTGGACAGAATTTTCCGGATGCTGTTCAACAGTACGATGGGACGCAGATTTGCAGGTGAGCCGGGTGGTTTCTTTGGTTTGGGCAGAGCAATAAGTGTACCTTGGCCAATCGCCTCAATGAGATGGTGGTTTTCAAAGACAGAGTTGATAACGAGAGCAATCGATGGTGATATTTCGTCATTAGAATATTTTCGAACAGTTAATTACTGATTCTATTTGGTCCAGGTGAGCATCCATTTTTCGGTGTTTTGATAGCCATCACGACGACTTCTACTTTGATTTTGGCTGGTGTGAGTTTTGAACATCAGGTAGAGTTTGTTCATCCTGATGCGTGTAATCACTGGATTATGGTCTGAAAGGTCTGCACCACCATATGAGCGTGCATCACAAGGCAGAGCCATACTATTCAGTTTGCAGAGCACAAAGTCAATTTGATTGAAGATAGGAATGGTGGCTTTAGAGTACTTTTTGACTTTGTGGTCTGCAATGTGTCCTGTCCAGGTTGTTCGATGACGGCAGGGATTTTTAAAAGCCGTATTTGTCGCAATCAGGCCATAAGCACTAATAAAGGCTATCAGGCCTTCTCCATTGTTGTTTCTTTCTCCCTTTCCATAGGACCCCATGCACGTGCCGAGTCCTGCGTGAGTCAGCAACCTAGGTCCTATTACAAAGCCTAATCCATGATGAACAGTGTGTTTCTGTTGCATTAGTACCAGTTTGTGACCGCTTAAGAGTAGCTGTTCAGATTGGGCGGCTACCTTTGTCTCTTGGATGCAGATGATATCAATGTTATATTGCTTTACAATCATAACCTAATGTCTGTCTTTTCGATGTTGCCCCGTACATTCCAAGATGCAAAAGCAAACTCGTGAGGAGGTGGCAGTGCCAGTGGGTGACGAGTACAGCTTCTCAATTTCCCTAACTAAGTAGGTACTGACGGAGTGGACCGCGTGAAGGTGTCGTCATTCCACTCCATACGCATGTCGTCATTCCACTCCATAGGTATGATAAAGGACTCAATAATATTTATTTGGAAGGGGATTGTTAACAACTGTAGACCAATGTAATATAGTGCACAATATTGTTCAAGATAATTCACTCCCAGCAATTAAAAACTTTAAGCATTTCGGCCGCTTGTTACCGAGGGAGTCTTTGGTGTTGATGTTATGTTATTGAAATATTAATTCATGAAATAATTTTTTTATGAAGGAAATCTGAATTCAGGAAAAGGAACGATAGTAAACTAATTCCAAATTTATTTTCAATTTACAGATTTGCCTGTTAACAAAAGGAAAAAGCTCGAGACCTGTGATAATACAGACGAAGAAAAAGGAAGTGCAGATGGTATGCTAGTGTTGTCTTTTAAAATGATTAATAATTAAATTTTTTGTTAATTTTGAAAATAGTAATTCAGAAGCAATCTTAAACGGAGAGCTTCTACTTATTGCAATATATATATAGGCTATAATATACTGTATAATGGAGACTATTTTATATATGTGCGTATACAATCTATATTTTAATGTGGTCTCACCAATACATGATTTTCGATGAGAAATGTTTATAACAAAATGGTTACATGTAAAGAAATGTGGTAAAGCTCTAGATGTGAAACCCCTGAAACATCAAATGGAATATACAAATGCAATGAAAAAATATTTATTGATAGTAAACTAATTCCAAATTTATTTTCAATTTACAGATTTGCCTGTTAACAAAAGGAAAAAGCTCAAGACCTGTGATAATACAGACGAAGAAAGAGGAAGTGCAGATGGTATGCTAGTGCTGTCTTTTAAAATAATTAATAATTAAATTTTTTGTTAATTTTGAAAATAAAATTCAGAAGCAATCTTAAATGGTGAAAATAAAAATACATGATTTTCGATGAGAAATGTTTACAAATGCAATGAAAAAATATTTATTGAAAAGTACCATCAACAGAAGGGGAATCTTCATACTGTATAATAGTCATTGTATTGATCCGCTTTCTGTTTCTTGGTTTTTAAAATTCTTTTTTCAAATTATCAATTTATTTTCTCATTGACTTGTTCAGATGATTACAGAATATAAAAACACCCGAACAAGTTGTGGTAGTAATTTGAGCAGCCTCACTAGGATAACACAACCTGTTCAAATTATTCTGTTAGTGTTATGTCCATAGTGCATATGGATCATAGGCATGATAAAGGACTCAATAAATTATTTCAAAGGGGATTGTCAGGCAGACTAATATAATAATGTAACATATTGAGTTATGTAGTGATTGATGAAGATCATTTACTCCCGGCAATTGATTAAAATGCAAATGGAAAATGATATAAATTTTGAATGTATAATTATTTTATAGCATTGTCAGATAAGGAGTTTAGTGTCCTTAAAACTGAAGTCTCACAATGGTATGACAGCTATGAAAGACTTCCTATGCTGAAAGTATTGTTTAGAGACAAGGTGGACAGTTGTGAATTATCACCAGTAATTCTCACAATGGACTTGCTGAATATATTATTTGCACGTGGTCATCTGAGTTCACAGAATTTTGGAATCTTGTGTGATACTATTAGCATTACCAAACAGTTGGGTCTTTTACCGAAGATTAAAGAAAAACTGCCATCATTCCCAGATGTGGAGGAAGGAACCATTTCAAAGATGTGTATAAGAGACAGGCATGCTCAGGTTGGTAGATACACTTATACTGTAAAACATATAAAGCAGGTGGAGCTCGATGTTTTCTGCTTTATATGCAAACACATTAACCAACTGAACCAACTACTATAGAGGGCTTTGTAGAAATTTTAATCCGATTGGCGGGACCTATTTTCTGTATGTGCTTAACAGCACTAGTTCACGCACTATGTAACCAAAAACAATAAATCGGTTTCATCTTAAGAACCAGATTTCGAAAGAGATACTTTTATACAACAGATTACATGTAGGCTTAAAGACAATTCGGTAATACTGTATGGGGGAACCCCTAAAACATCAAGTGGAATACAGCAAATGCAACGAATAAGAGGATTGTTCTACTTAATGTTTCTTGGTTAAAATTATTTTTCATCAACTTTTTACATAATAATAATAACAATAACAGCAACAACAACAACAACAAATAATAATAATACATTAAGCTTTTTCCAAATGTTTCATTCAGATCAGTTGATCCGTTTTCCTTTCAATGGTCCTCAGATATACACCCTATTGCCGATCATTTTGTTTCATCAGACCTTTACAAAGAATTATGGAATTTTTCATTGAAAACCATTGGTTTTTTTTAAAGAGATATTTAGGTCCTGTCTCTTATACACATCTAGATGTGTATAAGAGACAGAATAGATAATTTGTTTTTAATAAATATAAGATAATTATAAATATAAAATATCCATTTACATGTTGGTAATTGAGCCTTGCTGAGATACCACAGCCTATTCAATTTTTTCTGTTAGTGTTATGTTCATAGTGCATAATTGATCATTGACAGTATTAAGGACTCTATAAACTATTTCAAGTGGGATCGTCAACCAGAACAATATATAATATACTTTATTAAGTTTTGTAGTGATTTCTTATGAAGATCATTCACTCTCGGCAATTTTAAGCAAATCTAGGCAAGTTTAAAGCAAATCAAAAACGATATAAATATTGAATGTATCATTATTTTATAGCATTGTTAGATAAGGATTTCAGAGTGCTTAGCTGTTGTCTCACAATGGTATACTAGCAACCAATGTCTCCCTATGCTGAAAGTGTTGTTTAGACACAAGGTGGACACTCATGTTTTTGCTGATAATTCACTTCCAGTATTTGTTAAAATGTTTAGTATTGTAATATAATGTGGGTTCATCTATGCATATGTTCATTTTAAATTTTAAAATGCAAATGAAATATGTTTAAATATTCATACCTTAAATGTTTTATAGCATTGTCTGACTTCAGTGTGCTGAAAACTGTTGTTTCAAGCTGGTATGACAGCAACCGATGTCTCCCTATGCTGAGAGTGTTGTTCAGAGACAAGGTGGACAATCAAGAGCTATCAAAAGTAACTGACACGATGGACTTACTGAATATATTATTTCAACGTGGTCATCTAAGTTCACAGAATTCCGAACTCCTGTGTGATACTATTAGCATAACCAAACATTTGGGTATTCTGTCGAATATTAAAGAAAAACTGCCATCATTCCCAAATGTTGAGGAAGGAAACATTTCCAAAACATTCACACCTCACAGACAAAAGTTAATGAAATTTGGAATGGAACTGACGACAGCCAATGTGACACAGATTGATGGATTGTATAATACGCCTTGTAAGAGGTATGCAGACAGCTGGGAAATGATCAGCGATCTTGAAGACAGACAGATAATCAGCAAAGGAAATATGAAAGCATTCACTGATTCGTTGACAATCCTAAATCCCACTGGAGGAGTGAACATAACAGAAGGTATTCCTCAGTGTTTTTAATAACCATAATGTTACATTTTCAATGAAGAATAGTTGCAGGCCATCATAATTTATTCGAAGGTCGATCTCTCTTTAAATTCGATTCACTTCCAGTATTTGTTAAAATATTTAGTATTGTAATATGCTGTAGGTTCATCTATGCAAATGTTCATTTTACATTTTAAAATGCAAATGAAATACAGTATGTTTAAATATTCACACCTTAAATGTCTAATTATTTTATAGCATTGTCTGACTTCAGTGTGCTGAAAGCTGTTGTTTCAAGCTGGTATGACAGCAACCGATGTCTCCCTATGCTGAGAGTGTTGTTCAGAGACAAGGTGGACAATCAAGAGCTATCAAAAGTAACTGACACGATGGACTTACTAAATATATTATTTGCACGTGGTCATCTAGGTTTACAGAATTCTGGACTCCTGTGTGATACTATTAGCATAACCAAACATTTGGGTCTTTTTTCGAAGATCAAAGAAAAACTGCCATCATTCCCAAATGTTGAGGAAGGAAACATTTCCAAAACATTCACATCTCACAGACAAAAGATAATGAAATTTGGAATGGAACTGACGATAGCCAGTGTGACACAGATTGATGGATTGTATAATACGCCTTGTAAGAGGTATGCAGACAGCTGGGAAATGATCAGCGATCTTGAAGAGAGACAGATAATCAGCAAAGGAAATATGAAAGCATTTACTGATTCGTTGACAATCCTAAATCCCACTGGAGGAGTGAACATAACAGAAGGTATTCCTGAGTGTTTTAAATAACCATAATGTTACATTATAGATGAAGAATGGTTGCAGGACATCATAATTTATTCAAAGGTCGATCTCTCTTGAAATACGTTTTAATTAATTTTTTTATAATGTTGATTGATTGTTTTTGATGATATAATTCACTTCCAGTATTTGTTAAAATATTTAGCATTGTAATATAATGTTGGTTCATCTATGCAAATGTTCATTTTAAATTTTAAAATGCAAATGAAATATGTTTAAATATTCACACCTTAAATGTCTAATTATTTTGTAGCATTGTCTGACTTCAGTGTGCTGAAAGCTGTTGTTTCAAGCTGGTATGACAGCAACCGATGTCTCCCTATGCTGAAAGTGTTGTTCAGAGACAAAGTTGAAAACGTAAAGCTATCAAAAGTAACTGGCACGATGGACTTACTGAATATATTATTTGCACGTGGTTATCTAAGTTTACAGAATTCTGGACTTCTGTGTGATACTATTAGCATAACCAAACATTTGGGTCTTTTGTCCAAGATTAAAGAAAAACTGCCATCATTCCCAGATGTTGAGGAAGGAACCATTTCAACAAAATTCACACCTCACAGACAAAAGCTAATGAAATTTGGAATGGTACTGACCCTAGCCGATGTGACACAGATTGATGGATTGCGTAATATGCCTTGTAAGGAGTATGCAGACAGCTGGGAAATGATTAGCGATCTAGAAGACAAACACGTTATCAGCGAAGAAAAAATGGAGGAATTCATTGATTCGTTGAAAACCCTGAATATTCCTCTGGCAGTCAACGCTCTAACATAAGGTATTGCTGTAATCATGACATAGAGTTTATGTTATATTTATTTTCTAAAATGTTGTTATAAATAAATAATGGCTTGAGAGATCAGATCATTATTAAGCGGCCCATGTTCATATACTTGGCTGTCAAAAAGCTTTTCATTTTTTTAATTATTGTTGTTTACTATTTTCATGTATTTATTATCTAATTAATTATTAAATATAATTTAACTATTTTGTAGCCTTCTGGTGAATAATAATCGCTAAGTGTTTTCTTTAATCATTTTTAGGTATGTTAGTCTAATCTGCAAAAATACTGTTTAGACATCTGTGCCCCTTCTCAGCTGTAAGTAGGTCTAGGCTTAGTTTTTTTTTTTAATTTATTGATGTTTTGATTATGTCCAGGCATGGAGCAGTGATATGGTCCAAAGCACATATTAGCAAGAAAACATAAAAATATACATTATCAAACACATTCTTTGTAGTTGCTTTCATTAAATGCATCCTTTCAGTGTTTCCTTCTTGAAAGTGTGACTTCTCAACTTTAATGGTCTGGTATTAAGAAAAATTTACATAATGTGACTATTTAGTGACCTCTTGTAAATAGCTTTTTAAATTATAAGATCTGCTTGACAATCATACTTAGGACCAATATGGATTTTTTCACTTTGCTTGTATAAATATATTTGTATGTTAATTGCTAAAAAAAATCACCAAAAACAGAAAGTTTATCTGCCATCATATTTTATAGGCTTTGGGGAAAAGTAGATAAGACTGTAATAGTTGAATATTATTTTTGAAAATAATACAACAGAATAATCATTCTGGAAAAAAAATGTGTTTTGACAGGAAACGGAGATGTCCAGATTGTGTTGATATAAGTATCAAACTGGTACGATAACAGGAATTGGATAACAGGAATTGGATAACAGGAATTGACGAACATGCTGAATTATTGCACAAGGATAAAGTGAAAATTGCCGGTGATCTGCTAAGATCCACTACCATGTTTGACAAGCTATTAAACTGCAATGGAAGTTTTAAGCTTGGTTTCCATACAATTGCTGACAGCTTGTGTTGATGCTGATTTGTCGGTCGAATCGGGGGCCTTCTCAATTGAGTCGGGGACTGCTACTCTGCACAACGATTGCACTGAAAACACTGTAGCGACAGTGTAGCGATTGTATGGAAACCAGGCATTTAACCGACCAACTTTAAAATCCTAGTGGATACGATTATTGTTACTGATACCCGTGGTGTTGTAGAAGGGGAAGTCAGTGATCTACTGTGTAACACATTCCACGAAACCAATGTGACGTCAATTTCAGTTCATCAGCAGAATCTGATCAAACTCGGTTGAGTAGACCTATCGCAAAATGACGTAAAGATGCTGGGTGGTCTTTACGATTTACCACCGAGTCGACAAAGATCAGTTGACTCTCTGATACTGAATCTTGAGAGGAATTCGTAAAAGGTAAAATGAAGTCATTCATTGACGATCCAAAGAAAATTGAACTGAATCATGCAGCTAGAATTAGAAAATGAAGAATCTATGACGACATCCATGACGACATCTATGATGACTGAATTAATGGAAAATGCAATGTACATCTCATCCAGGCAAGGAGATAATTGAACCGAACTCGAAAACCATCCACTATTAATTAGACACAAGAAACTGACAATTATTTTTATTGTATATTTTCTCTAAAATGACTATTCGAAACACTGAAGTATGCTTGACAAATATCTCAATATGTTGTGTATATATATGAATAGGCCTATATTATAGTTGTGTGTATATATTTAGTGGAAAACAAGATAATATTATTTCCTATGATTTACCAGTTGCTACCTAAGCTAGTAGGTAGCTTAGAAATCTGCTCCACTATGTATAAGCCTTTAAGTTGTATAAATGGGGAGAGACCAGTAATAACAAACTCAGGACCATCCACTAATAATCAGACTCAAGAAACAGACAACAATTAATCTTTATTGTATAATTTTATCTAAAATGAAAAATCATTTTTACCACAATTTATTCAATTAAGAATTCATTAAATTAAGAATTAGATATGTATATATTAGATATATTTATATAAATAAAATATATTATAATATATATAAAACATCATGTTCCTATTTATTTGAGCACTGTATTATTATCTATTTGATTTATGCATTATTTGTTTTCCCAGTGCTGAGCAGCAACTTGATTTGAATATTATTTCCTATGATTTACCAACTGCTACCTAAGGTATTAAGTAGCTTAACAAGTTCTCGTAATCTCGATAACTCCGATGAGGTCATTACAATAGAGGGAGCAGAGAATATTGGCCCTAACGGCCGCCCATACAAAAAAAAAGGATCTTATAAGAAAAAAGATATATTAACCAATCAGGCAGGTATAGAACTCCTCATCGGAGCTAAAAATTTGCTCCACTATAATATGTGAAACTTCAAGTTGTATAAATGGAGAGAGACCAGTGGTCTTTGACCAGTAATGATATCGGCTATGGTCTAAACGGTATGACGCACGCCCGCCGAGATAGCGAGAGATTGTGGATTGGAATCGCACTTTTTTCATACAAAGGAACTTTCATTGATGAAGTACGTTTGATACGATTTTATAACATCATATTCCTATGTAAGCCTATTTTAATAATAATAATAATAATAATAATAATAATAATAATAATAATAATAATAATAATAATAATAATATTATTATTATTATTATTATTATTATTATTATTATTATTATTATTATTATTTCTTATGATTTACCAGCTGCTACCAAAGCTATTACGTACTTTAATTCGCTCCGCTATATATGTATGTGTCAAGTTTGTATGAAAAGGAGAAAGATTAGTGGTTTTAGATTTTAGATGATACCCTACATTCCCCTGTGGTCTAAACGGTATGATTGAGGGTTTAACTTCAACCACATACCTTATTTCATACAAATATAATAAGTTGATGAATGTTTGATACAATTATAACATCATGTTCGTATATATTTGAGCATTGTCTTATTATCTATTTGATTTACACAGTACTTGTGTTCCCAGTGCTAAGCACACACACTCGAGTATCACGCGAGTATTTTGTTAGGTTAGTTTAAGTTTCCTCCTTTATATTTGTAATCCCCATTTTTAAATAAACTATTTAGGCCTATCCTTTTTAAAGTTAATAGAGATTCTTGTTGTTTCATTTAAATTTGAGTTTGAATTTGTCTATTCGGTTGAGCCAAACCAACTGGAACCCGAGCCCCACGACTTATTTAGTTATCATTACGCTGACATCGGCTGTAACGGGTAAATCAAAGCTATTTTCTCTATGATCAAAGTGAGCACCCGTATTATATAATATCAAGGCCTTTGTTGTTGTTGTTGTTGTTGTTGCTGTTGCTGCTGCTGTTATATTATCCTCATCATCATTATAATTATCATCAAGATCAGATAGATAGATGGAAATGTGGCGTGTACATAATGTCAAACGGCAATGATTCTGTACGAGATCAATACTATATCTGGGAATTGACTTAATCTACCTGCTTAGGAAGAACTGAAAATCTGATTGGCTACTAGCAATCGGCTGGCTATCCGACATATTGAATACATAATATTTATTATTTGTTATATAATTATAGTTAATGTAAAGCCGACCGGGCACTCACTGCGCGCCTGACCAAGAGTAACTTTCCTGAGCGTTTTACCATGACTACCAGTCAAGCGTTGTGCGCTTCGGTTGTCATGCGTTATAATACAACTGGTACCTTGGTTACTGTTTCGTCATTTCCGAAATATAAGCCTTCAAAACAAGAAATTTAAATTATTTCTTTAAGCACTAATTGTATTTAGCATACTACATACAGTGTGCGTATGAGTCGGCTCAATGGCCGTTGCCCGTATTCCCCTCTTTCACCTAAATGAGTACCGGGTGCCCACGAGGACGAGGAAAGTTACGCGACCGTCCTTTGTTTATCACACGCGCGCGTTTAATTAGACTGTTCTTAAGTCGTAACAAGTGCATTTTCTAAAACGCGTTAGTGGAGATGCAAACAAGAACCTCCTTGGTGGATGGAATTATCTTCTTTCGTTATTATTAGTTAGGCCTAGGCCTTAGGCAATTTTTCATCAAGTCGGTACTTCTTTTCTGTTGATTAACCATGGGGATAATATGTAAATCGGTTCCTTCCATCATCTCAACAAACTTTTCTGTGAAAAATATTTTTATCGGAAGCGCAGTTGCTGTTTCTGGATACTACGCTGCACGATGGGCATACGGACGCAACTTTTCAAAATCGTCTCGGTTAGCTAGTAATAACTTTCCGGATTTGAGTGAGCATAATAATGTAATGGCAAGGTATTTAACTCGAGACATATACGATCGTCTTTCGCAGCGTACTACCCCAGGGGGATATACCATTGATGAGTGTATACAAACCGGGGTGGATAATCCAGGCCATCCCTTCATTGAGACTGTCGGAATTGTTGCTGGCGACGAAGAATCTTACGAGGTACAACTTTAGCCTTTTTGTGTGTGTGTGTGTGTTTATAATGGTTTTATGCCTAGGCACAGTCGTAGACTAGAACAATAAATATGTTTAACCTAATAATTAATATTAATAATGATGATGGGTTTCTCAGTTCAGTTTCTTCATTTGCACATTTAAAATGCACAATATAAATACATAGGCGGATTCAAGGAAGAGGGGTGGCCATATAGTAAATCGTGTTATACTTATTACTACAGATGACTTAAGATCTATATGATAGCATAACTCACCTAAATCACTTCTGGGTTGCGGTCCAGGTGAAAGTTCACTATAATGTATAATCGTAGTA